CCTGGGTCCAGCTGGTTCGCCTGGGTCCAGCTGGTTCGCCTGGGTCCAGCTGGTTCGCCTGGGTCCAGCTGGTTCGCCTGGGTCCAGCTGGTTCACCTGGGTCCAGCTGCTCATACAGTCTGTTAGGTGGGGAAGGATCATGGCAGTCATATAGAGTTTTGCTACAGGTGTTGTCAAACAGTTTCTTATATATCTAAAGTTTGCTAGATTGTATTTAGTTATTTGGATTACCTTTCTCACTTGTTTTTTGAAGGATAGAGTAGTGTCAAGGATATTTAAAATGTGTAACTGTTTGAATGACCTCCCCAGACACATAGACCTTGGGTTCACAGTGTGATACAGTGTCGGTCTTGCTAAAAAAAAACATCTTCTTAACGTTCAGATATAGCTGTGAGTCAGTAAGCCATTGATGTACATGTACCGTTGCATCACTTAGTTTGGCAGCAGCTTGGGCCTTGGTTTTTGCATGGGCATAAATGACAGTGTCATCAGCATACTGATGGCAAGTCATTTATATACAGGCTGAATAGAATTGGGCCCAGGATAGATCCCTGGGGAACACCCAGTTCATTCCTCAGGGGTGGTGATGTCTCGCCACTTACCCTTACACACTGAACTCTATCTGACAGATAGGAGCTCATCCAGTCTATTGCACTGGGTGAGAAGTTAAAAGACATTTTGTGAATGAGTACTTGATTGACTGTATCAAAAGCTTTCTTAAGATCTAAGAAGATTTCTCCAACAATGCCTCCTTTGTCCATTTTTGATTTGATATTTTCCACAAGGAAACAATTTGTGGTCTCGGTGGAATGATTGGCTCAGAAGCCGAATTGCATGGGGTGTAGTGTGAAAGGACTACTGTTAAGATGTCCAGTCAATTGCTCAGCTACACATTTCTCAGAGATCTTAGACATGACAGGGAAAACACTAATGGGCCTATAGTTACTTGCATCAGTTGTGTCCCCGGATTTGTGGACTGGCACAACAATGGCTAACTTCCAGTCTATTGGGAATTTTCCCTCCCTAAAAGAGGTGTTAATTATTTTAGTAATTGTCCCTGTGAGAGTGGTAGCATGTTTCTTAGGATCCAGTCCAAAAGTCTCTTTTGATTTGGAATTCTTTTAAGAAGAAATTATAGAATTAACTTTGGATTCAGAAGTCTCTGTCAGGGAGAAGGCTGGCTGTGTACTATCAATAGGTATTAATAAGTATTTCAGTTTCATTTATAATACAAAATACTTGTTGCATGGGCAGTGTATACTTGGTGTTTTGTTCTAGGGTAAATGGTAATTATTGAGTCAACAGGACTTTTAGGGTTTTGGAATATTTGGCCTACAAAACAAAAGCATAGCACTGAAAGTACATGCTCAGAAAATGTTTACGTTGCAATAACATAAAAAACAAAACAAGGTATTGCACATAAGTAGACTTTAAAGAGTAAAAATAAACAATTCAGGAATTCAAACATCTCAAAATAGAATTAAAACAGCATTACAAAGTAGAAAATATACAGTGGATCTGTTGGTTCTTCTGTTCAACTATTTTTCAACTTCCTGCAATAATTTGAGGTTTTCATTAATGTCATTGTTAGCCGCTTTAATCCAAAGCGACTCAATACTGTGGACAATCCCCACAGGAGCAATTTGGGTTGAAGTGTCTCAGGGACACAACGACATGCTGACTGCAGTGGGGTTTGAACCTGTGCTCCCCTGATCCCAACTCCAACACCCTACCCACTGCGCCACACGCCTCCATATCATTGGAGCAAATTGATTAACAAATACTTTTGATATCTATGTCTGAGTTAGGGTTAGGGGTTACATCTAAGTTGCTTTATTAACGGGGACCTATCATGCAAAATGCACTTTTGTACGTCTTTTATACATGAATATGTGTCCCCGGTGTTCCAGGGAACTCACCAAGTGTCAGAAAATACAACCCTCTCTCTTTTCCTCCATACCCAAATCTCTAAAAACGGGGCTGCAACGGATTTGATACATGTGGATTCTGATTTGCACCTCTATGATGTCACAGAGGTGCACTCCGCCTGTATGGTCAACTCTCCACCTATCAGGGGAATGAGAGGTTGCCGTGGCATGGCAACAGCATAGCAACAGCATGGCAACAGCATAGGAACATGACGCTTGTGCCTCCCCCCCCCCTTTGCAGGGGGGGGTGACAGCTCCAGCTCATGGAAAGACAGAGCTGGAGTGAGGCAAAATGAGGCATGGCTAAAATGCATGATCTGTTTGGTATTTTGAAAAATAAAACTTATAAATATACCTTATATCGGTATGGCCCTACAATATATTATTCAAATATAGCATGATAGGTCCCCTTTAAGTGAAATGAATAGTGCTGTAAGAGCTTTCCGTACTCAACAAAAACACGCCTCTTTGCCATA